ATAAAGGTCCAAAATTTGTTGTAAAAACTTTTTTGGAAATATTCCGGTTATGTTTTAGGTAGTTGGTTTACCAAAAAAAAAAATATGTAAGACGACCTACGTAAAATCAATTCTGAGATTTCAAAACATTTGCATCTCGGATCTCCCCAAATGCATTAGATATGTCTCATTTCACATATCCCCAGTAATAATGTAAAACTTACTGCAAATTGACAAGTCTGGTTACTGAGTATTTTGCATAATCAAATTGACTTCATCCAAACGCAGTTTCGATGCAAATATGACCGAAAATGTTTGCAAATTAGTGTGGAGGATTATAGAGGGGGACTGTGACTTCTTAATGGACTCAACGATTGGTCCTTGTTTCTGTGTAACCACTGGAATTTGTTTGGCAGCCATATTTTTATATTCAAATGGTTCTTTCTAAGCTATAAACAAGTCAATTATGTTTTTTTTTCTTTGCAGACATTATGTGGATTTTTTTACTATTATCGGATGAATAGTCATTTTAATGGACGATTACAAAATTGTTTTCAAATATGCACTTATTTAAAAACCAGTTCTCTACTTAGTTTTCCGAAAATTTTCTGCATTTCATGTTTAAAACATAAAAACGCACGATTACCTTGTACGAGAAAAGTTTTTATACAACACTGTAGTTGTAAAACACGGTAGGAATGTAGTCAACTTTTGCGATAAAACTATTTTGCTTGCACTTAGGTATGTAAATACACAGAGTAAAACTACTTTTTGCAACATTCATATTTAAGCACTAATGACAGTGACATAGCGTGCACAACGTAAAACCTAGGCGTGTACCTGCTTCTCTCTAAAGGTCAAACTCGCATAAAACTGAATTAACTATTTTAGGTACTGACTAACAATTTTCCAAAGATAAAAAGGGCTTGTAAAAAGAGAACACGATTGGTTGTAGTGCAGTGAAATATAAAAAAAATCATTCTATCTGTTATTGCACAACAGAAATAATGTTTTTTTTTATATATTAAACTGTCAAACACCAAGCGGTCACCGGTGACCGCAACCTATTGTTCTATAATTGTGTCTACAAAACCGGTACTCGACGAGTTAATAACTTTAAAATGTTAGGTGCTAGCTTCTGACAATGGCTTCGATCACCTTCCCGTGGAATAAAAGTCTATGTATTGTTTCAGCCCATAGTCTACACCTGTTCCGAATTTCATCCCGATTCCTTCAGCTGTTTTATCGTGAAGTAGAGACGTATGTTACAAATAATTTTAGGACGATAATCTATCTATATAAATAAAAATGAATTTCTGTTTGTTAGCTCGCTAAAACCCCAGAACGGCTGAACCGATTTGGCTAAATTTGGTCTTGATAGGTTCGTAGAAGTCTAGGAAAGGTTTAAAAGGTAAGAAAAAACTTTTAGGTGGTACGAAGTTTGCCGGGTCAGCTAGTATGTATATAAATACTTGAACTTCAGTCTCTTAGACGCACCTTAACCTACTACACCGGTCTTATAAGAATTAATATTCTAAAACTGTCAAACATGTAGGCCCACAAACAAGTTCGGAATGACAAAGAGTTGAAAAATCATTGGTTATTTTTATCTTGTCATATTACTATGCTATGAACGTGGGTGGTACTTCTTATCTGTGTGTGTATAGGCCGTATTATACAAAGACTTCCTTGTATTTGTTAATGTTAAACCAATCACGGAGTCGCACGATAATTGTCAATTGTGTATGACTTAATTAATTCATGACTGTTTGGTAGTAGACACGTTTTTACTAAGATGCCTATAATGGTGGTTATGAATGACGTCATTTTTAAAATTACGTCACGTTTTATTACATTCAAGTAAACGTATTATTACTGATTTACCTAATATATTGACTGTCTATACAATACATTTATCATGATTTAATTTAAAAATGATATAATACCAAAAAAATATTTTGATAGCATTTTATCACAAGATACGCTGTGTACCTCCTACCTTATTTATTAACTAGATTGAAGAGGTAAGGGATCGAGTACTATGCGTCTCTTTCTTTTATCTGACGCTCTGTATATTTTCGTCTCGTTTTCTTTTGGGACTAGAAATACACATAGAACGATTGGTATTTCAAATTATTTTTTTAGAATATTTTATTTCGATACATAAAGTACTATTAGTCTAATTTTTATGCACAATAAGCAAAAATTGTAGATAAATCCGATCTTTTACATAAATGGTCTTGTTCTATTTAGAAAACATAAGCAATTCGATCTCCCAAAAAACGCAATAAAAAGTTAATTTTAAAACAGTAGGTATCCTATTATGAGAGTGTGTATTATACAAGGCATCAGTTGAATAGCGAGCGTCGACAGCGATTGATATACGGCGAGCAAACGCGCGCTGACTCACAACTATCAGTATGTGCGCTTGGAGTTTGATACAAGTTATACGCACACAGCGAGACAAGGTCGAGGAGCGACAGCAGAAGGCAGTGGCTGAAATTAATAAACGATCTTACCTAATCCATTTTGTTAATATTGAGGCGTATTTTTAACACTCAGATGACAGAGACAACAATTAAAAAATTTATTTATTAAGATCGTTTAATATTTATAGCTGATTTGTAATCAGTTCTTGATATCAAATGGTATGCTTAATGCCAAGGGTTAGGAATTGTACCTACTTTATCATATTATTCATTACTTTATCAGTTTGCAAATAAAAGCTTTTAAGAACTTCTTCAACTCTGAAGTTTTTTAAAAACGTATGTCTGTAAAATAATTAAGTTAAAGATTCAGATGACTTTAGTTTTTTTTAGTACCCAGAAAATATTTTATTTTATAAAGCAGATATTTTTAGTTCATGACTTAGACCACAGCGTGAGACCTTCTCATACGTGGAATTTTTACGTAAGCTGCTACCCATGCTACTCCCGTCGAAGGAAATTTATTTCGAAGGCAGGTATTGAGGTGGTATTATGTGGTCACTTAAATATAGGCAGCACCGTATTAAACCAGGCCTCTTAATTTTATTCTCCATATGAATTGGTCTTATATCATATCATACGTAATAAGTGTACAATAAAGGTAAATTTAGGATTTAAAATACATGTAAATGACCAACTGTTTAATAAACAAAGTCTGTACGAGTACCGATATAAAAATATAGAAGATAAATATCGTCTACCACAGAGATTGCAGTTCAAAATTCCACAATCTTATCACAGCCAGCTTTATTATGATTACTAATGAAATTCCCACCCCGTTCTTTTGTATTTTTGCTGTTAACATAAAACAAAGCTACGTAGCACGACGGGAGAGAAGGCGAGACTGCAGGGCACGGTTCACGCAGTCGTCACGTAGTCGTAACGGTCCAGGCGTAGCGTCGCCGCCGCCAATCTAAATAATTGACCCGTCCGTCCGTCCATCATTGCAACTCCTTACTTCAAACAAATGAATGGAGACGGCCTTCGACTCAATACACGACAATAAACACACACCTACTTGTTAACGATTTAAAATATCACTTTATTTACCAAGCCAATAATCTTATAATGCTAAAAGTCTTGCGACAAGACACTTATTGACAATACTTTCTGATTGTTAATAACTATGTGGGTTTTGTAAATAAAACTTGGTGCGAATGGCATTGTTTTTTTAGCAAAATTAAATCACGTAAGTACCAACCAACGTTTTATACCTCCCGGCCATTGTTCATAAAGTAAAAGTCCATCTACATTTTCACGATTGTTGGAAAAACTTCGCAAACGGTCGGCTCCACGCCATTCCATTTTCGTATATAACAGTAAAGGGTGGAAGTAAGAAGTAAAAAGAGGAAAAAAGTATATTATTAGTCTCTTACCGAAATGGAATTGGAACATTTCGTAGAAAATTCCAGAAAATATTCACTTCGCTTTACTTAGCTGAGGGCAGCCATCATACTTTCGCTACTTTTACCTACACAATTTAATAGAATTTCTTGCGGAGAAAGTAATAATTTTGCTACACATTTTATTTGATATCTATTTGCGTCTGCTTCGTATAAAATAACTAAACTAAAAGTAAAACGTGTACGTGTTTTGGATTATGACAACAATATGTTTATCATTATTTTTATTGTTTTCTTTTCCATTTAAGCATGAATACGATAGTTTAATTGAAAAGTTTAATGAAATATCAGTTATAAAATCGCATTTAATAATGATAGAACTGAGCGAAAGTTCAACAAAGACGTAAAAATACTAGTATAATATCTATTAAAAACCTTACGGCTTAACTGGCGCTAAAATTTGACGCTTTCCCTAAAGTTCTAACCTTTATCAACATTCAAGTTGAATGTAATCCACTCGAAATGGTTGTTTCAGGGAGAACGTTAAAACTTTATGTATATTGTACTACAATCTATTGGGTCATTATTTTTCAACGGTCAGCTTTGAATATAAAAGCAAAAACTATCATAATTTAAGGTTCCTTCGACAACAGGTGAAAGGTACTAATCAAATTACTTCGGGATCATTTCGTCATAATCGTGCGCACAAAAATCGAATTCATTTTTTATGATTCTCCCAAGCCGTTAATAATATAACCAATCGGTGCGGACTATTTAGAAAATCGAACTGTCAAACGTCAATGTAATGAAGACTTTATATATTTTTATGTTTTCTTTGACGATGCCGCCAAGACGAATGAAGTAAATGTAAAATAATAGTACTGGCGTTGGATGGGGCCAAGCTTCATTGTATAGCCATCTGAAGGGAAAAGTTACGACCGCGACAGGTGTGATGCCGAATTAACTTCTTATATAAAGTCGGTTTTTATACAACACCGACTGCTTAATGAGGCCGAGGGATCACGGTAATGAAACGCGAGGTGTCTCGGACTTTTCTTCTCGACGTCTTTTCCAAGCTTAATTAAGACCTTTTTGGGGATTAAAACTTGATTTCTCGTCATACTATCCCGTAGTTATTATAATGACAGGCATTAATATGCGTAGTTTTAAAGCTTTCTAACGAGCAACCAACCTGCACGGGACGTAGTTTCGTCATGACACACGGCACAGTACCTGTAACAAACATAAACGATTAACATACCGAGCTCTTTTATACAGAATATAGATGTCCATTTTAATAATATGGAAAATCAATGTCGGTGTAAATTAAGTTGAACGCACAAAACGCACGTACCGAAAACTCGTTCCATTTTTGATCGGATGACATTTTCGACGGGTCCGTTATCTGATGTGTGGTCGATGAACTTTGAATGGGAATCCAAAACGAAAAAATGTGAGACAAATGGATGGGCGAGTGCGAGTGCCACTGATCGAGTGTGCAGACAAGACGAGCACATAAGCGACATGTTTCATTCAATCAAGACAAAGTGGATGCATTGTGTCGTTGACCCGCCCTGAAACATATGTCGGTACCTGCCCACGATCAATATTCATGAGCCATTGCAGTTATGCCGAACATGAACGCCTTTATGGTGAATGTCACTTTACTTTACGCTGCGTGAGGCACTAAATGCCATAACTAGTTGTGCCCATCTCGGTGAATTTGAGCCTAATAGATATTCAGATAATGTAAAGTAGAGCACCATGTTTCGCAACCTTTTCGTCGGAGGTTTTTTTGCTTAATTGACGTGTGATGTAAGTATAGGATGCTTAATGAAAGAGGACAGAGTTTATCTTAAAGTAGACAGAGTCATAAAAAGAGAAGCCTGCTGAGTAATATCAAATAGTAGCGGCATCTATGTATTAGGTACTCGTACCTACCAAGACGGACCAATGAACACAAGAAAGTTATTTTTAATAAGTATTAAAAATAACTTTCTTTTAGCCAGGCATTTCCGATTCGAAAAAGTTCAAAAATCTTATTTCAGAGTGGTGTTAATTGATTCCAAAACGGATTCCCACATTTCTTCCAATTAACGCAACTGCATTACGTTTATTTGATGACAGAAGTGAATGAGGATGTTCGTTCCGAGAAGGGAAACGTGTCAGTAACTAAACGCGTACCGAACGTGATACAATTTACAAACTAAGAGAGTATATTATTGTTTAAATTGGGTACTTAGGTGGTACAGAAATATACTGACAAAATTCTTACGCAGTCAGAGAAAAGTTTACCTTATCTATTGATTTTTATAGTCCATAATATTAAATTTTTCACGTATATATTTACGGATTCAGAGCTTAACACAGTTATATATTTATGGAATACGTACTCCCAACAAGCAAGAATTTACCCTGATATTTTTATTCTGCTGCATGAGAACACGCTATGCTATTTGCATACATATCAGCCGTTTTGCAAATCTGCGTTTGTGGGAATATTTTGATGTAATTGTTTGTAACTATGTTTAGGTGCTTAAACAATCTTCTTTAAAGCATATTAACCCATCATTTTGTCTATAATAAACATAATTTTGGCACCTACCTACATTTATTTCAATGTCGCCTGTTTACTAAATACCTTTGGCATTAATTCGTATATTTTAAATGCATACAGTTTAAATTATATACGAAATATGGGATCCAATAATAGCTACATTTTCACTATAAATTGCCTACAAGGTATACAAACTGTGTGTTCGTAATAAAACACTTAGTCGATATAATATTGGTTGCACTATAGGCAAAACAAAAGCTAATTGAACTGCAGGAAAATGTCATTGGATGATAAAATTACAATTCATGAAGGCGCCAGATGTACGCACACAAGTTTATTGTTGAAGCGCAAATTGAAAACGGGTGGCAGCGGACAATTGGTTCAGAGTTATTGTTTTGCTATTAAAATTGATGGGAAAATTTATAGGTAAACAAAAGCCACTCTCTTACCTACCCATAGCGAGAGATGACATAAAAAAATAATATATTTAAGCAAAAATATAAATGAAATGCATAAAAGTTGTTTTGTTATTTTCACTTTAACTTTTTTAAGGGTGTCTTACAAACTCATTCTAAAAAAATAAAATAAAATTTGAGGTCACAATATATTGGTTGCTATTGATTGACTACCTATATATCTATTATAAATTATTGACAATATAGAGGTATACCCAACCATCAAAACCACGTAGCGTAAATCTCATTATTCCTAGATATAAATTTGGCATTCAGCCGAGAACTAAAAATAAAAGTAGCCAATAAACTGTCAATCGATTTGTGAGAAAAAATGATCTTGCGTCCAGTTTGATGAGTTATAAATGATATATTTATGCTAATATTGTATTAAAATATGCAATTAAAGGTTATCGTGCTCGATCATTATAGGTGACAAGTGAATATAAATGCTAGAATGTTACAACTGTACCTTAGCTACAGAATATAAAAATTACTCTTTTGTTTTTGTCGCTTACAGGGTGTTCTACAACAGAACACATGTCTGTTAAACTGGACAAACACAATAAAATAAGATAGTAATAGTAATGTAGGTTAAATGATAAATTATTGGATACGTGTAGATTCTTCATAATTAATAGCCTCTATAAAACCTTAATAGTTTATTTCAATAACAGTCTATATAATCTGAGACGGTTTTATAGAGTATTATCCATACCTATAATTTTAAGGTCATGACATCACATCACACATCACATGACTACTGTGTCCAGCGAATATATGTTAGAGGTATTTATATTTCATTAATATGTTACAGTAACAACTGGCATATGCAATATCAACCTTAAACATAATGAAACAGTCGGATAATATCATCGTGTATATTCATGAAATACTTCATCACAATATTTTAGACAATTTTATTTGCTTACTCTGTTACAGAATTACAACTGGGAGAGAACTTCAAAGAGTCGAGGGTACGAATAAACGGAATAATCTTTAATATTTCACCAGTAAGATGTTTCATACATCCAAGATGAAAGTAATGAAAACATGTCGCGAATAACGAATTTATGTCGGAGTTCTTTCATAGAACAATCTTCTCTGTTGTTCCTACTAGAATAATAAAAGCCATACCTTCATCCAACCGTTACAGTAGGAGGAAAACTTTTCTTTTTCATTTACTTGTGTAAGTGTGTTGTTGCTGTACATAGCGTTTTATTAAATAAATCAGGAGCCACGTAAGTAGGGTTGCTGCTTTAAATATAAAATATTAATATGATAAAATAACAAATCTTCTCTTCATTTTTTTCAAGATATTATCAATAGTTATAAGTCATATTTAGGTATTGTTCTATTAATACCTATACCTAATATTATTTTTATAATTTTGATGTGTTAGTGCCAAGTTAAATTGAGAAAAAACGACAACAAAGATTGTTGCATGTGACGTTAATGTTAAAAAAATAAAGGTAGGTAAAATTGCATCAAATAGTAGATGTTTGATGCAATTATTTGCCTTTATTCTTCTAGGTAACACTCTCATTAATCTTATTATAATCTCAAACTTAATAAAATTGTGTAATAAAATTATACAATGTAGCTGTTTATTGAAAATGTCATCACCTCAAGTTAATTTAAATATAATAATAATATATTAATGTATGAATAACATTTCATAATTCTCACGTAAAACATCAGATATCTTTAATAATACATTTATGCACGCAATAAACCAAATACTTAATAATTATATTAAACAAGCAATCCATTAAAACATCAACAATAAAAACGCTACAGGGAGAGTATAACCGCTAAAAGGTATAAATATTCTAATTACAAAACAAATGAAGTTCTATATTAAAATCTACTTTCGAATATAATTGAATCGAAACAATTTTGTCACTCGAATGCGCGTATCAGAATTCAACGGGCATGTTCCATTTTTATTTGAGGACGAAAGCGTTGGAGTATATATCGATTGGACGAGCCGCTGGCGGGAGGAATCGAGTCCGTAGCATCTCACCGTTCTATTCTCGTATCTTTTGGATCCGAAGGAATTATTATCATCAGCGATTACCAGACCGGTCGGCAGTCATATTTTGTACGATGTTACGATCACGTGAGCTGTGTACGCGTTATCGATGTGTAATTAAAGCTGCTGGTTGATCATCGATACTCACGATGCCGCTCTATAATGAAGCGATTTAGAAACGACTTTGATATCGAATCGAATCGAAAAAATATATATACAGGCGTAGGTACTTATTTTGTCGTAGCACTAGTATCACAACAATGTTGATTACATTGAGCAGGGTCATTTAGGATACATAATTCAAGCGAGCCGATTATATAAATTATGTTGAGTCGGCATAATGTTTTTATAATTCCCCGCACTAAAAGATCAAGTTCTACGGACGTGTGGGGTTCTAAATACTGATGCGATAAATACTTCGGTCAATTTGCGTGTATGTTATGAATATAACTGAACGTACAACTTATACTTTGCCGTAGTAAGTTATGATAGTATGGATACGACTTTGTACAACACAAATTAATACAATTTATGTACTGAATGCTATTTATTTAGTTGTGTAAGAAAGATATATGGAAATCTTTCAGGCGAAAGATCTATTTTATTTATGCTTTCACGTACATATTGATCTGGTCTTTTTCTGTTAGCTTGATCTGGTTAAAACAAAACGTTATTTAGTATCTAGTCAAGCATCTGTTCATCAGAGTAATTAATGTATCTCTCGCTGTATATTTTTATCCTGTGCTTCATAAATAAAGTCATATCAATATTACTCTCTCGTTTATTATACGGCGTATGAAGTCGATATAAATATGGAGCCTACAGACATTGATTTGAATAAAATCCAAATATAAATAAAATACATGATGGGTGTCCCGCAAAGAATATTATGAATTATTTGACACTTTCTTGTTACATTCTGGCTATATATAAGCAAATTTCTAAAATAAAACAATATTTATGGCAACTTTACGTGATATTTAGATTATCATATGACTCTCGAAACGAAAAATATGTTTAAAAATAATATTTCCATGTTTATTTTATTTTACGGTAGTTATTTCATAAATTACACGAAGTAGGATGCCTTGAAAGATATACAGTTTAAAACTCATTATACCGAAACTTGACTCATTAGGTCGATGTTTTTTGGCAGACTTACTTAATAGCGAAATATTAAAACTTAAGT